GCGTAGTTCTATGGCCAATGAAGAACTAATTCATCTTGCTGTGATCAACGTCGAATCTACCGTGGCAAAATCTTTAAACATCGAAAGTATTGTTAAAGAATTCGATGCTGCTCACAACAATCGTCGAATATTACTTCATTAAGGGTAAGTCACTTTTTTAACTTCTATGCGGTTATACATATAACATTGCAATGCGTGCCCAGTTAAGATTTTGAGGTCCCAACTGTTGGCTTACCTTAGAATTTCATGCTAGTTCCGCCACTGCATGTGGAACATACTTCTTCCACATTATCTGTATTATTTATGAAACCCCAACCGATAGCCAACCCGGAAAACGATCATGTATGTGATGCAGATCTTCATCAACTAAAGAAAAGAAAGTTTTACCGACTGAACAATAATTAAGATTGGAAAAAACTAAATCCAGAAGATGATTGTTACAATTAGTCATTGAATTGCGTTGGGAGAATCCATGTATCATACCCCATATATCACTAATGTTAAGATTTCAAATTCTCAACTAATGCTACGAGTATTTGGTACTACACCTATTTTTGTTGTAATTTGACTAACAGATTTACAATCCAATTAGAAGCCAACATAAAAAAATTAAGTTGTGGGTGCAGACTTCCGGCTAGGTCAGCACAAGATTGTAGCTAGCAAAATTACTACAATTTCCAAAAAAAGACTGTGTACTCGGTTCTACCACAAATTTTATGAATTCGGATCATAAACAAAGCAATATTCTAGCTAGGCTATGTATGGAGAAAATCGTTTTATGCGTCTGAAAGATGATGAAGAAAATATCAATTGTTTGATCACGAGAAGAGTAAGTTAATTAGGAACGTCACTTTCGAAAATTTTCCAGATTCTCTAATGGCTCCACGAAACCTAATAACGGGGACATGGGCAGGTTGTACAATCGAAAAGATTTACAACTGGGGGTTTGCTGTTTGCTTTATTAACCGCTCCACTGTCGACTTCACAATACCCTAATTTTACAACAGCGATATAACCTTAGAGAATCTGGAAGACTATACATCTGGACAAAATTATCAGGCAGAGTTGACAACTGTACAGATTAAAAGTACTCAGTCCTGAAATAATATAAGGAGAATGAGAGAAAAATTGTGGATACATTGTCCCACAATTGTTAATTTAAAAAATTACCTGCAATAAAAGTCTAAGGGCAATCCTGGAAAAACGTATTGTTCGTAATACGTTTTCCTTCAGGACGTTCACGATGTACACATTTCTAAGAAACTATTTTACTCGTCTCGACGTTGATGTTTATGTTTCCTGTGTCCGACAGTTTTGTCTTGCACTATTGTGCAGAAGTGAAATTTATATTATTTATAGTTCTCGAGAACAAGAATTTTATCTGAAGAATGTAATACACACTTAATTAATGAGTGATATTGTTAGACCTTTCCAGCTATTTTACGTGTATCATTTAAATAAAGTGTTCGGCGGTGTTTTCAAAATAAGCAAAAATTGGCCAACAAACCTCGCTTCTTTAAAATTATAAAATTTGATTTTGTGGTTTCTCAATCCGCCTTGATTTTTTACCCTTGGAACAAGATTTTCGCAATTAAAGATCAAATTGCACAATCAAATTTTGTACCAGTAGATATAAGAGCATGATGAACTCCGCCGAATGTTGATTACTAACGCTTTTTTATTGATCAAATAGAGAACGTTTCACCCCATTTTATGGATAATTTGTAGCTTAATTAATAATTTTGATGGCGTGCTTAATCGTCGCATTCTTTCGATGTATAAACATGAACAACATCTGGTAGGTACTTTTGTACTTTAGTACACAATCATGATATCGTTTCAACATTATTTCTATACGTTCTGCAATGCTTTCATGCAACCATTGGGTCTAATGCCTTGTTGTCCTATTTCAAAATCTCTTGGTTCCAACTATTGAAGCTTAAATTTGATGCTAATTAATAACTGAATGCTTATAGATAAATTGATCAGTTCATAAAGTTCCGAGTAGGAGAGTGGATTATGGAAACTCAATAAATAGGTATATTTGGCCTTTTCAAAGGCTGTTGATCTTGTTTCTTAAAGGCACCCATTGTTTGAACAAATATACCGTGCACAGTATGCGACCATTTGCCTTTTTCTCAGTAGTCACACATTTTATATCACAGCAAATATTCGAGCGCCGCAGGGTTCAATATATTGGATTCGTTAGAAGACTTTCCTTAATGAAAATACGTGTTTATGTTATGAAAAGACTCAACGATTTTTCGTTGTAACTGAAGTCAGCTTCGGAAAAAATATCTACCATAAGGTCACAAATATCTAAAAAGAGATTTTTAAAAAGGGACTCCAAATCCAGATCTGGAGCGAACTTTAATGGCGTGACTTTTCGTTCTTTGCCCGACATGCAATCTCTTAGTTACGCCTAATACAGGTTGAAGCGAACGCGTGCACATCGCTTTAAATTCTTGAGATTCCAAATGTCTTACTAAACAGGTATGTAAATAATTCAGTAGTAAGTTCCCTAAGGAGCATAGCAATTCCGGTGCACCTGAAAATAATTTGAGTGATTTTAGCGAATTCAAGTTGTTTAAAAAAAAATCCAATAATTACAGTGTGCACAAAAAGTAATTTCAGATTACAAAAATACGGCCAAAAGTTAGAAATCCAGTTTCTGCCAATTTATTTTTTAATTATAACTTCTAATCCTTAAAATAAAAAATACAGATTTATTTAGCAACTTTTGAGGTGACGTCATCAAAATTTTGATGAGGATGTGCAGACCAATTTAGTTCCCAATCGGTCATGCTGATAATAACCTTATTGGTGCCTTTTTTTCTTAATATTCGTAGTCCTCTTTTCGCAACAAGAACCTTAAAACATGTTTAAAACAGGAAATATGGATTTTGCAATCACGCTCCGCCCGTCAGTCTGAAAACGAATGGAAAATTCATCACGATTGAGATCCGTAGAAAAATACGGATTTTGCAATTAAGCTCAGCCTCCCCCCTAGTTATCGTCGAACAAAGAAAAATCGTCACAATTGAGATAGCGTGGGTGGGTGGGGCTTCTGTTTTTCATTTTTTTCTTCTTAACGTACATAGTCGTTTCTTCACAACAAGAAACTGAAAACATGTTTAAAAGTGTAAATTTTATTCCATACACTTCTCTACAAATTTACCCTTTTAAACATGTTTTCAGTTTCTTGTCGTGAAAAGAAAAGTACGTACATATATTAAGAAAAAAAGGTAAAATACAAACCCCGCCCACCCGCCCTCATCTCAATTGTGATAACGTTTTTATTCATTGTGAGCCGAAGGGAGGAGTTTATTACAAAATGCTTATTTCTCCACAAGAAACTACCATGTGAAACATAAGTATCATGTTGGTGAAAGGAAACTAGGTATATATGTTAAGAAAAGAAGTCAAAAATAAGCCCCACCCACTCGCCCCAATCTCAATTGTGATGAATTTTTCATTCGTTGTCAGACCGAGGGGCGAGGCTTAATTGTAAAATCAATCTTTCCCGACAAAAATTTACCATTTCAAACGTTTTAAATATATTGCCTTGTGGAAAAAATGGTGGCAATTTTCTGGAAATTAAAATGTGTAACTTAAAAATCCACAAAAAATTCTGGGGTATAGATCTCGATGAGTTGACTTCTAAAACATATAGTTTTGGTGGTTTTGGTTTAAAATTTACGAAATATTGGCTATGAAAATCCTATGACAATTTTTTTTTTATAAAATCCTATAAATTGTCATATTTTGTGTCGTAAATTCTGAAAAAAAAAATGGTGGCCAAAGAAATAAACCCCGAAAGAACTACTGGAGCTCGAAATGTACAATAAAACTCTTTTTAAAAAGTTCCCTAAAAATCTACAAAAAATTCTGGGATCTAGAACTCTAAATCTAGATTTTAAAAACATTGAGTTTTGATGATCCCGGATAAAATTGGCTAAATATCCGATCTTAAAACCGAATATGTATTTTTAAAATCTAAAAAATTGTTATATTTCAAATTGTAAATTGTGGAAAAATTATGGCAATTTTCCAAGAAATGAAAACGAAAATAACTTCTCGATATCGAAATGTATATAAAAAACTCTTTAAATAATTTTAGATGTTCGAACAAAAATCAAAAATTTAATTTTGAAAAAGTAGAGCTTTTGAAAAAATGACCTAAAAATCCATAAAAAGTTCTGAGGTGAGCTTGTTCCAAAAGTATGATAAATTTTTCAATTTTGATTTTTTCTTTCAAAAATTGAGATGCTCCCGGTAAAAAAAGGACAGATTAATACCAGAAATACATTATTTTATAAAATTTAAACAGTGTTTACATTTTGCCAGTAAATCCAGGCCATTGTACAATGGAAATTTATAAGAATACATAGTGCATCAAGGAGAAAATCAAAAAAACTAGCGAAGATCTTACCAGTTATAAAATTTCTTTGTGGACCCAATATTCCATGCTGAGGTCATGTTGTACCTTAGAAGAAAAGTGGATTAGGAATGAACATTACAAATATTTACCACAATTAATATTAACATAATATTGTTACAAGAATTTTTATTAAAAATTTAACACAAAACTTGACAATTGAGTCTAATTTATTTACCATTATAGGCTAGTATGTACAATAATGAACCATTTTATGGACGTCAAACAGTGTCATAATTGACATGATCACGTATAGTTGCGTACAGTTGACCATAAAATGGTCGAGAAAACGTAGTGGCGATTTTAATTTTTACCACGAAATCGATAACAGGCAACGAAAAATTGGGACATGATGATGAAGTTCAATCTATTGATGGAATACACGGTACCATAACGTGATTTATTGCCAATGAACCATAATTTCCAGTAGGCTTTATTTAAAGTTATTACTTATATTGGTTATACGCTAGAATGATAAATATCATGTCTACTTTCAAATCTGTTTAAATCGATATACAGTCGCTTAGCAACTTTTCAATAGACGTACCGGACTCACGGTAGGCAAGTTCTCTTGTTAGAGCTTCATGGAAGATATTAAAGATAAGAGTATTCACCATACCGCTATAAAAATATGTGAAGATTTTAAAACATCACCATCGTATCAAGCCTTATTTCAAGATATTCAGGTTTAGTTTTACTACTATTTTATATATTTTTTTAGATATGTTTTATTATTTTTACCGAAATTTGACGGTTCGTGTCACAGTCCTGTCAATTTTCGTTGTCTTAAATTTCTTTCAAATTCAAGTTGTAAATCATGTTTCAGAAATTAGTTTCCACACCCAGTGTTAAATATGAAGATTTCAAAGATAGTTTACTCAAAGCCATGAAAGATAATGGTTTAGACGCCAGTCTTAGAAACAATGTCTATCACTGGATGAAAACTAAAAAAAAAGAAATCGGATCACCACACGACACGTTTTTTAGAAAAGCGCAGATTCACTGGGACAAAAGGATACATAAATCACTAAACTCCATGTGTACAGAACTCGGAATAAATTTGGCAAAAATAAGAACCGTTTCCGAAAGGGAAGAACTGGCTGGCAAGTGGGGCGAACTCAGCAACTACGAAGTGAGTAGATATTTGTAATGAGAATTTTTTTTACTGTATCAAAGGTTGATATTCACAAATATAGACCGGTCTATGCACCTAAGGATTTTTTCGAAGTTCTACTGAATCTTAAAGGGCCAACTACAAGAAATAAGGGGTAAATAAATCTCTGTCGGACATTTCTAAAATATCATAAGCATCCTGTTTTGCTTATAGTTCTCCGAAATGGGAATTCGCACAGATGCCTCTAAAAGTGAAAAATTTGGCAGACTTGGTAAGTTAGAGATATTCTGCATGCTGATAAATACTAGGTAGATAGTAGATACTAAATGAAAAAGTCTACAGAGGTGCCTCTATTTAGAATTATCACGAGGCGAACAAATACTGGGTGTAAACTCGTCACTGTTCTCTTCTCGACAGTACAGTGCTTTAGAAGCGGAACGAATGATATTGGGTGATAAAGTATTAATCAAAAATTATGCACCAATGGCTCAAGAATTCTTGAAAAAAGGTTGTCCGAATTCGTTGAGAGCAAAAATTTGGACGCTCATCTTAGGGGCAGAAGTAAAACCATATGTAAGACAATAAAAAAAAGTCAACCCTAGTCCAACTTCTCCTTCTAGCATTACGGTTACTTCGAATCCTTGAAAGACAGTGTTCTTCAGTATGATTTAATGATTGATAAACTGATAATTAAGGATATTAATTTAACAGCATCCAACGATGATCAGTATTTTGTGTTTGAAGATGTGTTGTATCAAGTATTGTTATGTTTTTCGCGAGATGGTGAGATTCTAAAGGACTTGTCTACTCAACCCGGCTTTATGCAAGTGGTTATAAAAGGAAAACAAAGCAACACCGAGAACAACATCATTTTCCCTCCTAGTGGTGTAATTCCCTTTCATGGTTTTACAATGTACGGTTAGTGATATGTTACCTTATTTTAAAAATTACTTTTAATTTCACTCTTTTAGCTGCTCCGTTCTGTTATTTGTACGACGACCCTGTGCAACTCTATTTCGTTTTTCGCACTTTCTACATACGCTATTTTCACCGTTTGCATCGAGTTTGTGGAAATCCTCAAGGAGTGGTTTCACTTTGCTTACAGTACGAGAAAATGTTACAGTGTTTTGAACCTGGCTTATGGCACCATTTTAGAAAATGTCAAATTCATCCGTAAGTTGACAATTTTTGGGGGATTAATATGAAAAAAGAATTTGCAGAGTTCGAGTTGTTATTAAGTGGATAATGCGTGCATTCAGCGGACATCTTCCGCCGGAACAGTTGTTAAATCTGTGGGATTTAATCTTAGCTTATGATTCGCTGGAAATCATACCATTACTCGCTGTTGATATTTTAGTGTTCCGAAAAGATAATTTATTGAAAGTGAACACTTTGCAAAATATCGAAGCTGTTTTAGCAGATTTATCCTCGATTTCTGTTATACCGTTGTTGCAAATGTCACTGTTAAAAGAATAAAGTGTAAAGCAAGAAGTTAAGACACTGCCATTTTGTAATTTTGGATTCTTCTCGTTAAAATATAGTTGTTGTTCGAGAAGGTAAAGAGTTTTTTTCCCGGTTTGAAATTTCTGCGAAAAAAAAACAAAGACGATCGACGAGGGCATTAATTAAAGACAGAAACAACTTTAGGAAAAATTATGTTTTCTTTCCCAAAAATTAGCCAATTGTATGTAACCACAACGAGAAAAACCTCTGTTTTATTTTGTTATTTGATTTAATGGAAGGCTAACATATTTTATATTTCGTTAATTGCGAAAACATCTTATTTTGCCCTGGACGTTTAAATACATGTTTTAAGTTTCTTGTTGTCGAAATAAGTCTACATATATTAAGAAAAAAGAGCAAAATGTAGCCCCGCCCACCCGCCCTATCTCAATTGTGATGATTTTTTTTTTAGTCGTCGTCAGCTAAGGGGGCGGAGCTTAACTGCAAAATCCTTATTTCTCTACGAGAACTTTAAAACATATTTTTGGGTATTGTGTTGTTCAAAGAATATGTATATTAAGAAAAAAATAAAGCCACAAATTAGGCCCCACCCATACCCAACTTAAGAACATATTTCACATGGTAATTTGTTGTAGAAGAATAAGGATTTTACAACTAAGCTCCGCCTCTCGGCTTGCGACAAATACAAAAATCATCACAATTGAGATAAGGGGGGTGGGAGGGGCTTATATTTTGCCTTTTTTCTTAATATACGTAGTCGTCTTTTCAGAACAAGAAACTTAAAACATGTTTAAAATAGTAAATTCTTGCAAACAAATATGGATCTTGCAATTAAGCCCCGCCCCTCGAACAACGAATGAAAAATTCATCACAACTGAGAATTGAGATCGGGGCGGATATGGGTGGGGCCTAATCTTTGGCTTAATTTTTTTCTTAATATACATAGTATTCTTTGAACAACACGATACTCAAAAACATGTTTTTAATTTCTGGTAGAGGAGTAAGGATTTTGCAGTTAAACTGCGCCTTCTTGGCTCACGACGAATAAAAAAATCATCCGAACTGAGATAGGGCGGGTGGGCGGGGCTACATTTTACCTTTTTTTTCTTAATATGTGTAGACTTATTTCGACAACAAGAAACTTAAAACATGTCTAAAATGGAACGTTTTTGTAGTAATTAACTTAAATCCCCCTCTTTTCTTCTACAACCCCTTTAAATACGGAAAAAGTTGAACATCAAAGTTACTATCAACGGTAACTTAGCAACGAAGTTTATAAATGACAATTTTTAGCTCTAAAAGCAACGTCAGTGGGAACAGCAACTGCAACGGGAGTTTCAACGTCGACGGCAAGTTTATAAATCCCACTTAAAGTGTTTCTAAAGATATTTGGAAACAGAGTTAAATACTTGTGGCGACACAATAATAAGTAGTAGCAAACGAAGAAAGATAAGCGGCCTCGTGGTCTAGTGGTCAGGATACCTACCCGGCAACTTCCCTCCTTTAATTGACGTTGAAAAAGCTTGAAAGGCCCACGAAAAATTCAAAATTTGGCCTTGGCTGTGATCGTCTAACAAAATGGGAACCTACGTTGTGTTTTTTTTTTTGAAAAGTGGCGGGAAAACTTTCTTTCATACAAATGAGCATACACTGCGTGCGAGTAGAGAGCGCAAGAAATAATAGACACAATTTTTAGGAGGGGGCTAAAATTCGCACCCCCTCTCTAGGAGGAAAAGAGCTGCGAGCATTCACTCCTCAGCCCCAAAAGCCCCCTATCGTATATTCACTGACATTACATTTCAAATGAAACACCTTAAAAATATGAAAGCAAAGACACTTGCGAATTGACAGACATACACACATGAGAACCGAACAAACACAAAATTCTACACATATGTTTTGAATCAATGCAAATATTTGAATATCACAAATTTAATAAAACAAAGCAAAATCTGAATTAAAGTAACTGGATGCAAATACACAAGTTATCACGGGCGTGTGGAGTCAAATTTTAAAGTTACGGCAGTTAACATGAGCACAACAAAAATACCCCTGTGGCGTTCTAGCATAAACGGAGTTTGGGGCTACCGGTTCGGGCTGGTCTCCCCCGCGACGGTGATTCTATCTATCGGCAAGCCTACCGCACAGCATCTCTCCATTACGAATATGCCGTCCTAACCAGGCCGTGTCGGTCGAAAACACCTCATCGTCCAGACCGTTCCCACTGAATCTATTCAAAGCCTGCAACCCTTGTGCAGATGGCGTAATAAATCTCGCTAGCCACCACTAGGAGCCGCGCCCTACGCTTCTGCTACGTGTTTCGGTGTTATTTAACCTCAGTTTCATTTTTTAAATGTTCAATTTCTTATGACTCTAATATTGTCGACAACTGAATAAGTGTTAACGTTTCAAAAAAGCAATAAACAACATTTAAATTCGCCATACAATCTTGTGAAATTTTAAACAACAATAATTCTTATGTGAGATTGAAATTGGACATCAGATAATTTATACGATGGAAACATTCATCAACAAAATATTTACAAAACAAAACTTAGGAAAGATTTATAAAACAAAAGATCCGGTGTGAAATAAAAATATTATGTGAGGTTAAAACTGCAGTGAATGAAATTTACGTTCAATGAAAATTATACAACAAAGAAAATTACTGAAGTTAAAATTGTGAGATACCGAAATATTGTATGAGGTGAAAAATTGCAAAATTAACAAAATTTACATGAGATTAATATTTGCCACACTTTATCAACGATTCAAACAAAGAGTTTACATTATGCCAAATTATATCATGATCTAAGTGATTGGTTACTTAAAAAAAAACAATTTACTTTGAGAGTTTAGCATACCGCGAACTGGTTACCCCAAGAAAACACATAATAAATAAACACAAAATTATTCAGTCATCGTTTCGAGGAAAAAGCGTCTCGGTGATGTAATTTTTATCGTTGCGAGGGAATACCTCGATGGTGTTATTAATCTCTAGCGTTGCGAGGACATGCCTCGATGAAGTAATCAATCTGTAGCGTTGTGAGGACATGACTCGCTGAATTAATCAATCTGTAGCGTTGTGAGGACATGCCTCGATGAAGTAATCAATCTGTAGCGTTGTAAGGGCATGTCCCGGTGATGTGACCATGATGACGATGATAACCGCCTAAGGGAAGAAATTATTTTAAGCCTCCGTCAGTTCACGGTATGAATTTTGTTAATTTAACTGCCGTAAATGAACTGTTAGCAATCTTGTGTGAAGAATTATGAAGTGTTATAGTGTAACACTTACGTATATGCATCCAGAAACCTATTCGTAATTTGTTAAACAAAGAATTATTATCCTGACTAAATGAATTTTATGAAATCTTCGAGCAAGTGGTTTATTCAAATAATCCTAGCCTGAATTGTGAATTTACAACGATAAAACAAATTTACGCCACGTGGCCCGCGTTGGTCCCGAAAATTAACACTTTTCCGATTAAAAAGCCGCAAGAATTAGCCGCGACTGATTGTCGTTAAACAAAGGCTTCCTCCTTTTTATTAACTACCAAACCAGCTAATTTAAACATAGCTACTTACAGCGTCTTTTCACCATGCATCCACTACACCGAACCGAAACATAATGACTCACGCTTTCAACATGCCGCCCTCTCCTAACAATCCGCCCTCTAACTAAACATGCAGAACTAACCCCTACGTGCATATATGGTTGCCTATGTTTAACGATTTCTTTTTTTGTCATCGATTTTTTTTTCTCTTTCAAATTCAAATTATTCAAATATGATTTCGCGCCGCTGTTAATTCATTTCAGCGCGAAAATTTTGATTCAAATTCGGCTACCACAGTATATACACCACCACAAGACTAAAGTGTAATGTAATCCCTCAAGTGGTTACTGCCCCCGCTAGCGCTCGGGCATTAATTTCCACTTTCGGGATTAAATCGTGCACTTTAGTCTCTTGGTATATAATATACTATTATTGCATTCACAGCGGGATATAAATGCCCCTACCATAAATGTTTCAAAGCCCCGCACCGCAGGTCAGAATTCTGCACCGCATTGCTTGCGAGCCGGATTGTGCTGGGGTACTTTTATGGGGATTAAGCTCAATAACAGGCAGTTGAAGGTTGACCAGGGACTAATGACACTCATAAAGTGATTAACTCTATTTCCAAATATCTTTAGAAATACTGGTTCAGTAAATCAGTTCCTTTTCAACAAAACTCATTTAATTTTGTTTTATTTATCTATCTACTGATTCTTCTAATCAAAATTTTAACAATATATACCCAAAATTGCAGCCGATACACACATGACCACATGAGTTGATTTAAAAATAATTAATTTTGCTCCTTCATGGATCTTGTGTAGTCCACAGAAGGTACTTTCACGATTAAGATTTTGTTGAAAGAACGAAATAATACGAGTAATAAACTTCTGAGAAACTAATATCTTTCTGAGGTCTTGTTGGGGTAGTTTTACAACCGAACCCGCATTAGTGACAGTACCAGTCGTCTTTTATGTAAATGCAATAAACACGAAATTTAGAAAATATACCTGATTTGAAATAACGGACGAAGGGTTCAGTTCGAGGAGTTGTTCGAGTGAAGGAGCATTTAAAGTGGTAACTTTGATTTTTTGTTGTATTTTTGTGGTAAAAATGCCAAAAGGTAACAAAGAAAGGCGACGTCTGTCTTCCAAAAGGAATAAAATGCGCCGCGTTGTTGCAACTCTTTTAAAATATAGACAGGTAAGTGAAAAAACATTTTTTTCAAAAAATACATAACCCTTTTACATTAAAAAAAAACAGAAATAGAAGGAATACTGCCACCTGTGACTGCCACACTTCTTAAATGTAAAGACGCTATGGTAGGTCATGTGTGATTGAAAAAACTTGTAAATTCGGACAGCTACCAAGAGAATAAAAAAAATAATACTAATCTGTGTGTATAATGATTTGCATTAACCCTATTTACGTCAGCAAAACAGTTCAGCTAACTTCGGCGAATCATTTTTAACCAATAAA